CAGGTAACGAGAAGGGATGTGGAGAGGCTGAGGGACAAGGTGGGGACGTCGACGTGCATTCACTTTTCCGTTTGTTGTTCCACAAGGGTTTATTGAGCACCTGCTGCGCACCCGGACGGCCCCTGGAAGGATATAAACGGGCACAGAAAGGGACTCGTTCCGTCATTACCAGCCATTTATTTGTGTGCTGAAGTGCTAGGCGTTCTGAGGGCTGAGTCTACAGAAGGGAGGAAAACAGACAGGGTACCCACCCTCCTCGGAGAGTTTGCATCTTGTGCATTTAATCAAGTGGACAGTGTGTGGACACAATGTCCACAAACAGTAAGTTACAGTTAGGACATAGGAAAACTCCAACAGGCTGCAAAATGTTCTGTCACGGGGGCATTTTAACCCAGTTTAAAAGGAAGGGATAGTTTAGCTTAACACAAAATAGGATGACAAGAAGCAACCAGCCAGGTGAAGCTGGGGAAAAACTGTTTCAGCTGGAGAACAGCACATGCAAAGGTCCTGGGGCAGGAGGAGCTTCCAGGGAGGGCTTTCTGTCGTGAGGGAGCCAGGTGCAGATGGAACGAGATGAGACTGGAGTAAGGGAGCCAGGTGCAGATGGACTGAGATGAGACTGGAGTAAGGGAGCCAGGTGCAGATGGAACATGATGAAGCTGGAGTGAGGGAGCCAGGTGCAGATGGAACAAGATGAAGGTAGAGACCTAGACAGGGCCAGACTTCCCAGGGACTTAGAGGTTAGGCCGGGAGTTTAGATTCTGTTCCGAGGCCAGTGGGGAGCCGTGGAATGAATGGCTGTCGGCAGGAATGCAACGTGAATGGTGTACAAAGGGGAGGCGGGAACTCGGAGATGAGAGAGGCAGAGACACGCTGGGGTTCAGCATCAAACACAGGCACTGGCTCTTGAAACTCGCACTCATGGGAGAAAGCAGATAATTACGCAAATACGGAAGCACAGGCGCCATGTCTTCACCGTGCAGGGGATTCATGTGTTATTCATTCATTCAGCCATCCACTCGGGGACATTTCTGTGCTGACGTACCAGGCAGTGTGTTGCAGAATCAGGATCCCTGGAGGTAAGAGGTTTGAGCAGACCTTGCAGGAGCCGGCAAAAACCACAATCCAGGCAGGGCAATTGGTGCTGTCATGGGGGCCATGGTGGGTACCTTGACGGAGGAGGGAGTGACCAGCCGCCCCCGACGGGGCTGCCTGTAGGGAAACTTCCTGGGGAACTTCATGCCCAGCCTGGGCTTCCAATGGACGAGTAGGAGTCTGCCAGGGGAGGAAGGCTTTCGGGCGAAGCCCTGGAAGAGTGAAATGGCATGTTGCAGAGGGACAGTGGCCAGTTCAGGGATGCTGAAGGACAAGGTGAAAGTGGCAGGTAAGCCCAGAGAGGCAGCCAGAAAGCAGTCTTAGGTGCTGGAGTTCTAGGCTGAGGGGAATAGAGGAGAGCTTTGCACAGGGGACTGGCAGGGTCAGTTGCGGGTGTGAGGAGAAGCCCCTGGGACGTGGCTGGTGCTGTTGGGCAGTGAGAGAGGAAGGCAGCTGAGCTGGGCAAGGGCTGTGGGGGTGGAGGGAGGGGTGGGTTTGAAGGTCACTGAGGACAAAGAAGCAACAACAGTGATTGGTGGTTTCCCTTTATTGATTCAGCAAATATTTCCTGAGGTCTTGCAGGTGCCAGGCCCAGTGCTCTGAGATGCTGGGTGTACAGAGGTCATCGGGCCCTGCCCTGCCCTCAGGGGGTCCCTAGTCTGGCGGGAGAACAGACAGACAGGAGTGGGCAGTGAGGGCCCCGCGACGCAGGGGCTCTGCCAGCCTGTGTTGTGACAACATGGAGCAGCAGCAGAAAACCAGGGGACAGAGGAGGATGGGACTTCCCTCAGAGGCCCCTGTGGAAGGACTAGAAAGGGGGAGAGAGATTGGAGGGTGGGGACCAGTGAGCAATGACATGGTGACACTGTCAGATACCAGAAAATGCGGGGAAAGGAATATGCATTACCGAGACAGGAGAACTTGGTACAGGGTGGTCGATAGAAGGGACGATGGAGTGGTGGGGTTAGAAACCAGTTTGGTGGGAGATGGGGCTCTGGTGGAGGGGGGTGCAGAACTGGCTGAGGGTAGTGGAGTCGGGTCCAAAGGCCAGAGAAGAAGAGAGAGGTAGGGGGTGGGCAAGAAAGGGAAATGGGAAGAAGGATGAGTACGCTGGAGATCTGAACTGGGTGAGTCACAGAGACATAAAAAAATGCGCAGAGACAGAACCACGGAGAAGGATCCCAGGATCTGCCTAGAAAGAAACACAGAGACCCAGAAGAAAATGTACTACTGTGTGGGAACGAGCCATTTCTGTTGCTTGGTTTCTTGTGTTTAGGAGTATTCACTGAGCACTGTCCTGTTCTAGACTCTGGCAAGGCCCAAGGCGTTGGCTGAGTGCAGAGCCAAAGTCCTGCTCTCCTGGACTCACAGGAGAGGCAAACAAGAGAGTTTGGGTTACAGGGAATGGCTTAAAAAACCCAGCAGAATGTACGGACCACCAATGGGGCGGGGCTCTAGAGGAGACCTCCCTGCGGAGGTCACCTTTAAACTGAGACGGGGGTTGTGAGTGGAAAAGGGACAGGGAAAGCATCCTGGCCACCAAAGGCAGCACAGAAACCCAGAGGGGTCCCAGGGTGGCCAGGATGCTCGGAGGTGGCGGACAGGCCAAGAGTGGCAAGTCAGCAACAAGGGCCAGCAGATTGGGGTGAGGTCAGAACAGGCTGGGGGCCCATTGCGGGGAGACCTTTCAGCCCTGGGAATGAACTTGAATTTCCAGTTTCCGTGGGAACTGAGCACAGGCCAGATGACATGATTATAGTTTCATTGAGAACCAAAATAACAGCACCACACAGCTGTGCTGAGACTCGATTCCGGAGTGGAAATGTCAGGAAGGAGTTAGGAGCTGTTGTCCTGGGTGGCCTGGCCCCAATGGAGAGTCAGTGAGGGTGGAGAGAAGTGAGATTCAGGAGGCAGAACCTACAGTAAGGAACTGGATGCTGCAGGAGACAGGAGTGAGAAAGCAAAGTGAGAGAGGGCGGAACCCTTAATTGGGAGCAGACCAGGGGGCCCCAGGGGAAGGAGCCAGGATTCTGGCAGCCCAATCCAGAACCCTCCTTTATAGAAGCCTGTGAGAAACCCAAGTCAGCGTATCAGGTCGCCAGTCGGAAATGTGAGACTGAAGCTTGGGGAGAGAGGTCATAGCTGGAAATACAAATTTTGGAAAGGTCAGCATGTAGGAGATGTTGAAAGCCATGGGACTGGATGAGGTCACCTAGGAGGTGACTGTGGACAGAGAAGTGGACACAGCCAGAGGGGTGGGGGTCGGGGGGAGCATCTGCACCGGGCAGAAGAGGATGTATCCAGAGAGGGGGAGGGGTGACTAGGAGGCAGGCAGAGACCAGAAGGAAGCCCTAAAACGCCGCCGAGAACGAGGAAAATCCCGAAAGCAGCCAATGAATTTGGTTTGATAATGTGGCCCTGCTGAGAGGCTGTGGCAATACAAGGCTGGGGACTGGGGCCCTGCTGGAGTGGAAGGAAGAATGAGGGAGAGCGAGATCAGGCCATCCTTTGGGTGTGAAAGTGACAAGGACTTCCATGCCAAAGAGTGTTATACCCTTTCTGTGAAAGGAGAGACAGGGGGCGGGGGGACAGAAAAATGCACCCAGAACGAGAGAGCTGTTCCGGCACATGGACTGAGAAAGACGGAGTGGGAGGGGAGGGCAGGGCCTAGAGGGGACATGGATTCAGGGGGCAGGTGACTGTCCGCAGGGCTGCCCAGCCCTGCCCTGCACCTAGGCTTCCCCCTGGAGCCTGTGGAGGTCTGGGGGGAGCCTGCGATGTGAAGAAAGGAACAGACTTTACTCATACAGTTAAGACATTTCCTGGGCGGTCTGGAGACACGCAGGACAGCCAATTAGATAGCAGAGGGGGTGTGGCCGCAGGGGGCACTTTCCTGAGCTTGGGAGAGGATGTCTGTGTTACCATCTCATTGCGTCCATCCATTTGCTCCTTCATTCATTCATTCACTTGTCTAACGCACGTTTCCTAAGGCGGCCTGTGCGTTCCTGGGGTGGGCGGTGCTGAGGCGGAAGAGGTGAGTGCCTGCTGCCCCCCGACGCAGACCCCAGGCCGAGAGGGAGACAGCCCACAAGCACACAGTCACACCCCAGGGCAGGTGGTGTGACTCCCGTGGTGGCGACACAGGGCGCCGCGGTGTCCAGAGCAGGGCGCACCAGCTGGCTGGAGCCGCCAACTCTGGGCGGAGGAGTTGGTGAAGGTGGGTCCCCACCCGGGCCGCTGGCACCGGGGCTGAGGGCAGCGGGGAAGGGGTGAAGACCAGGCCCCGCCGCCATGCCACACGGCTGTCCTGTCCCTGCCCCTGGGGGAACGCAGTGCATGGAAAGTCCTCCGGGGCGTCCCGTCTAATAAACTCGATGAAGAGGATTGCGGCTCTGATTCCCGTGCCTCGCCCAACCACTGGCCTCTCCCCGGGCGGGACCTTTCACCCTCCTGCCGAGCTCTGGACCCCAGCGCCTCCTCCCTCAGACCCGGGAGAATGAGCTTTCGGTCCCCTCCTTCTGACCCAACACTCAAGAGTTGAAGTCCCCAGGTTTTTCTCCTCCTTCAGGGGACCCGAGGCTCCCCGCCCGGCCCCTCCTCCCTCGGAACCTGCAGTTCGCGTTCCCAGCCGGGCCCAGGCGGGACCAAAAATCTAGGCTCCCTTCCTTCCCCCTCTCTCGCCACCTGGGGGGACGGACCCTCGGCTCCCCGGCTTGCCCCCTAAGGACAGAAGTGTCCCTCCAGGCTCCAGCCGGGTCAGGACCCAGCCCAGCCCCTCCCCCGCCCCTCGTCCCCTTAAAATACCCGGAATCCCTATGGCAACTAGCGCGGGGCGACAGGTGCTGGTGTTATTTACGGGTCGAGCCCGAAATAGCCGGGAGGGTGGGGGTGGGCGCCCGGGGGCGAGGCCGCCGCGAGCGCAGCGCAGGTCCCACGGCTCGGCAGCAGGCGGTGTGGAGTCCACGGTTCGGAGGATCGCGGAGCTGGGGCCGCCGCGGCGCCCAGGCAGGAGGGCGAGAGGGGTCCCTGCCCGGGAGCCCGGGGTGGGAGGCCTGCGGGAGGCGCCCGGCCTGCTGCCAGGCCTGGAGCGGTCCCGGCCGGGCAGGCCCTGGGAGCCCGGGGGAGGGAGAGCCGGGTGATCCTGCAGGATCGCAGCGTCCCTTCGGGGTCCCTGCTGCCGTTGGAACGGCGGGAGGTCCCTGTCTTCTTCCATTTCCGGAGCCGCGGAGCAGAGCGCAGCCTCTCTGAGCCCCAGTGGGGACCCCAAGTCCCCCCCACCAGCCCTGGGGGAACCCTCAGCCCCCTTCTCTGGACTCCGCTGTGCCCCTCAGCCATCCGTCCCCTGTCTTAGGCCCAGTACAGACCTTTTATCTCTGTTCTCGGAATTCCAGCAGGTCCCCAGCCCCCCCCCCCTTTTCTGAACCCCAGCCAAGACTCTGCTATTTCCTTCTGTGAATGCTGGGGGTGGCCTGTGTGAGACCCAGAAGAAGTTCGGATCTCCCTCCTAAACCCCAGAGGAGACCCGACTCCTACCTCCTCAGACTCTGAGCCCCAAAGAAGCCAGGCGGGACCTCTTTTCGAACGCACGGAGGACCTCGGCTTCCTCTCCCGGGTACCGCGAACTCTGAGCCTCGTGGGGACCCGGAGCAGTCCCTCAGAGCTTCGGGTGACACTCACCCTCCCCACCCCCCATCCTACCTGTGGAGCCTTTGGGTTTCCTCCTTGGCACCCAAGTTCTAGCTCGGAGCTCAGGGGACCTTGATTTTCCCCTGGATTCCCTCCTCTTGGCTGAGTTTCTGCGGACACCCCAGGCCCTTTGCGGAACCCGAGAAGGTTCCTCAACACCCGGGGGCGGCCGGATCTCGTTTTTTTTTGGTTTTTTCCTACTCTGAGATCCAGAGGCACCCTCGGCTTTCCCGTGTGAGGTTCCAGGGAGATTCAGAAATTCCTTTTTTTATAGTCCAGTGGAAGCAGCGCCGCCCCCGCCCCCGCCCCCTCCCAGCCCTCTCCGTTCAGCTTCCCCACATCGGATAATGATGTGGTCCAACTTCTTAATGCAAGAGGAGAACCGGCGGCGCGCCGAGGCCGGGCGGCGGGGGCGCGGGCAGGGCCTCCCGGGGCTGTCGCCGGAGCAGGAGGGGAAGGTGAAGCTGGTGCTGCTGCTGACCGCGGTGGGCGCCACGCTGGCCGTGCTGGCCGTGGGCACGGAGTTCTGGGTGGAGCTCAACACCTTCAAGACCAACGGCAGTGCCGTGTGCGACGCTGCGCACCTGGGGCTGTGGAAGATGTGCACAAAGCGACTGTGGCTGGCGGACGTGCCCGCGGGCAGGGAGACGTGTGGCCCCGCGGAGCTGCCCGGAGGTGAGGCCGCCCCCCTCCGCCCCCACCCCGCCCCGGGCTCGGGCCCCAGACAGTGAGAGAGCCCCGGTGGGAGACAACGGGGCCCCAGAGACAGGGCCCCTGAGCCCCAGGGAGGGGGCTTACACCCCGGCGATCCGCCCGAAACCACATCGCCCTGTGCTCCCCTGCAGCCCTTGCCTCAGGCACAGACTCTGAAGAGAGAGAAAGTCTGTATCCCAAACTGGTGTGTGCTCCAAGACCAGCATGCGCCCCCAGACTAGCTTGTTCCCCTAGACCAGCCAATGCACCAGACCATCCGAGGGCCTCCAAAGCTCTGGCACCCCAAGTGTAGCATGTGAACCCCGACATTGCTGAGTCCCCAGGCCAGCCTGTAGCCCCGGAGAGCGCTTACAGACAACTTGTGCCCCCACACCTGGCCCAGGTACCAACACCCAGCCCGTGACTCCAGACGCAGCTGGTGCCCACAGATAGCTTGGGTCCCCCAGAAATGCCCACACCCAGACAGACTGTGCCCCCAGAGAGAGAGTCTGGGTTCTTGGTGTCGGCTTGCTCTTCCCACTCCCGAGACAGCCCATACCCCCGTGACCCCGATCCCCAGGTAAAATCCATCCCTGTTCCCACCCACCAATCCCACCAAAATGGAGTTCTCCCCACACATCTCCCAACACCCCAGGGCAGACCCCTGGCTTCCAGGGAAATGAGCTCCTTCACGTCCCATCCTCTCACCTCCAAATGCCGAGAGGGTGCACCCCACCTTGCTCATTTTCTCTCACAGACACCTCACACCCTCACTTCCCCACAGAGTGGCTCTTCACCCCTAACTATGCCAGGGGGGCCATCCCCTGCCTCTCGCTCTTCCCGACAGGGTACACACACCATGTCCTTTGCTCATATCAGGGGGACACCCTACCTGCCTTGGGCATCAGGTCTCATGCCACCTCTGCTGACTCCCCTCATCACCCATGTGGATCTCCACCACTCTTTCTGAAAGGTTGTTCTGTCACTTCCATACCTTCAAAGATCCATAGCTTCAAAGATCTCCTATCCCTCTGGGCCCCCCAGGGACTTCCCTCCTCCTCTACTTCCCCAGGTGTGGAATCCTACATCCATGGGATCCCAAATAGGATGAGCTGAGTGAGACCTTAGTAGCAGAGTGGGATGTGAAGCACTCTGAGGCACCCACCCACTCTGCATCCAGATTAAACACTTCACTTCTGCAGGTGGGCTACTCCCTGCCCCTCAGATCCTCGGGGGGGGGGACTTCACAAACTTTTCATCAAATGGGATGCCCCAGTAATAGAAATATGAGATGTTTATGTAGGGTCCAGCTTTGTTGTAGGTACCTTGCATGCAAGAAGCTCTGTCGATGCACCCAGGCTTCTCATATGGGGTCTGAACCTTGGTCATCTCTGTTCTCAGCTACTACACTATGTGGTATCTTACTAGTCAGCAAAGATGTCCCAAAGGTTCCCATAGCACTGAAGGGGATGTCCCGCCCACCACATTGCCTATGATGGGGTCCCTCACAGCTCTTGCTGTCCTCCGATTGGTCAGAAAGGACTTCAGTTTCATTACCAGACCATTACCATCCTCTCATTGGGGGAATATCTCACCTCGTTCACTATTTCAGAAATACCCCACACCTCTCACTGCCTGTCAAAGGGCATTCCAAGGGGCTGCAAAGGGGTGACTTGTAAACTACTCTTTTCCAAATGGGATGTGCCATGTCCTTTGGGGTTAGAGACAAGATGTCTTAGATTATTAGTAGCCAAAATGGGATGCCAGACACCTCACACTGCCCTGGAAGGCTGCACCCCACCCACTAAAGGGGACTTCCCAGTTCCCTCGTGGCTGTAGACCACGTTCTCCCATTGATTCCTATACTAGGGTCTTCTCCGATCTGCTACGGGAAGCATAAGGCCTGTCCCTGCTTCTGAAGAGACATCTCATGTCCTCCTCCTTCCCTCAGGCCACCAGCCGGAGTGTCCTGCCTTGCTTGACTCAGTTTATCTCTTCTCATTTTTCTCTTCTGTAGAATGGGGCAATGAGAACTACTCACGAGATTGCTGTGTGGATGAATGAGTTAATGCATGCCAAGTGCCAGGCGCTACCTAAGCATCCAATATACATACTACCTGCTCATTCTCCTTCAGTTTGCAAAGTTCCTCCCTCTTCCCCAGACTACCCAGCCCCTCTTCTATTTCTTTCACTCCTCCTATTCTCTACCTCTGTCCTCCCTTTCCATGCCTAACTCTATGTAGAATAAGAAAGTTGAATGAGGTGAATTCTGCAGGAGGTTGAAGCTTTAAAATGCAGCTTGGAAGGTTTTTGTTTTGTTTTGTGGTTTTAAAAGTTTAGGGTTTCTTAGGCTCATCTAAGAAAAAGTTGGGTGAATCATACTCTCCAGTATTTGTCACAAAGTCATTAACAGCTTTTTCAAGATCCTTCTTCTGCTCTATTTAACATTGTCATTCTTTTGTTTCATCCCTTTTCAACTCATCTCTTTCATGGGTTTGTTATGTATCCATGGATATGTCTTTCCACTTGGAGAATATGTAGTGTTATTTTACACCTGTAGGTGTTTTAATTTACATAAATTATATCATGGCATAGATTTTTCCTGTTTTTAAATTTTTTTCCTTAATACTGTGCTTCTCAAATAGCTCTAGGTTGCTTTCTGTTAATCTTCTGACTCCCTGTCATTGTAAATATATATGTTCCCGCATATAGTTTTTGTTGGTATGTATCCCCAGAAGTAAAGTGGCTGGTTATAGGGTATAAATGTACTACACTTCATAAAGTCTGTTAGCATGATTTCCAAAGAGATTAGTATAGGCATACCTCGAAGAAATCATGGGTTCTGTTCCAGACCACGGCAATAAAGCCAGTCACACAAAATGACTGGTTTCCCATACATATAAAATGTATGTTTACACTATACTGTAGTCTATAAGTGTGCAATAGCATTATGTCTAAGACATCATTTAAATTATGTCTTAATTTAAAAAGACTCTATTGCTAAAAAAAATGTTCGGGCCATCATCTGAGCCTTCAGGGAGTTGTAATTTTTTTCTTTTGCTGGTGGAAAGTCTCACCTTGATGTTGATGAAAACACAGTATCTTCAAAGCACAATAAGACAAAGTACATCTGTACCAGTTCACACTCCCAGCTGTTCCCTCTTATCCTTCCAGTGCTTGATGTTATCCGTTTAATGTTTGCCAATGTAATTGCTCTTAAGTGACATTCCCCTGCTGACTTGAGTTGCATTTCTGTGATCCCTGGTGAGGTGGAGCATCTCTTCACGTACTTGTGAGTCATCCAGGCTTCCTCTTCTCTGAATTGACGACTATTCATCTCCTTTGCCCATTTTCGATTGGGTTACCTCTCTTTTCTGGCCTATCTGCAGGACTCCTTTGTGTATGTATTCTAGCCAGGAATCCTTGTTGTGATAAGAATTTCTTCCGTTAACCTTCCCTTGCCTGGATCTTGGCATCCTTTGCTGAATAAAGCGATTATCTATCTCTAATCCCACTTGACTCTCAACTAATCCATATGATGGATCCAAGAAAGAGACTAGTATCTCATTCCATAGAGGAAGATTCACAGGTCCCCAGAGGTCAATAGCCCACTCAAAGCCACAAATCTGGACCTCAAATCTCTGCGTTGGAATCCCAGCTCCTGCGTAGCCTGTGACAGCAGGTGGCTTCACTGAGCATCATTTTTCTCTTCTGTCTATTAGGGATGCTAATGTCATATGTTTAGGTTACTGCGAGCTATGTTTCATACCCAGTCCTGACCTCATATGAGGGACCTCAATGTCCTCACTTCCCTCTCTCTCTTTCCTGCCCCCACAGAAGCCAACTGCACCTATTTTAAATTCTTCACCACCGGGGAGAATGCACGCATCTTCCAGAGAACCACAAAGAAAGGTGAGAACTTTTCCCCCTGCGGTGGACTGGTGATGGGAATATGCTACGTGAGAGGAATTCTTGGTAGCCTTGTGCTCTTCCCTGTTTTGGCCCAGGATGGTCTCAGCTCCTATGTCCTTGGGAGGTTCCACCTTTGGGAGGGTGGAGGCAATAAAGTCTTGGTTCCCCAGAGCCCAACACGCCTGCCCCAGCTCTGCCTTTGCCACATGCTGTGCAACTTCAGGCAAGTCACAGCCCCTCTCTGTGGATGGTATGCATCTCATGAACATGCATCTACCATGTGCTAAGCATGGTGCTTGATGTTCCATTTATAAGATCTCCATCCTTCTCACACCACACGGGCAGTGGCTTTATCTCAAGCTTTGTGATGATAAAATAGATGTTCCTATAGAATCTTCTGTGAAAATGAAAATGTTCTGTGCCTGTGCTGACCAATATAGTAGCCACTGGCCCCATGTAGCTGCTGAGCACTTGGAGTATGGCAAGTGCAACTGAGAAATGATTTTAAATTTTATTTAATTGCAACCCATTTAAAATGAAAAGGCCACGCGGAGCTAGTGGCAACCACACCAGACAAGTGAACTCTTAAGACTTTTCCCTTTCTATTCTAACTATAGCCTCTCCGTCACCCCAGAACCTCCATATCCACACCTGTAAGAGAATTGGGATCCTGTCATGAATCGTATCTGTTTTAGTCAGATGATGCAGCTAATGCACACAGTGTGGTGGCCAGCACACAGTAGGTCCTCAGTAAACATTGGCTCCTTACCCCTTTCTTTCTTGTCTTGATTTTCAGTGAGTTTGCACAAGTCACCGTGCCCCCCTGGGATGGTAAAATAATCACAGTGCACATGCATGAAATGACTGCTGGGTGCCAGGTGCCAGGTGCTGCACTGGCCACTGCACACCTGTGGTTTCTAGTCTTTGCAACAGCCTGATCCAATAGGCCTTTTTTTTTTTTTTTTTTCCCAGTAGGGATTTTTATCCTGATTTTCTGGAAGAGAAAACTGAGGCTCAGAGAGGTTCTGTGACTTTACCAGAATCTTCCAGCTGGGACGTGGCCAGGGAGAATTTGGACTTGGATCATGCTACTGTAGCATACCTCCTCCATTGTCCCCCACACCCCCACTGCCTCAGTTTCCTCACCTGTGAATAGACGGTGGCCAGAGCATAAGTAATTATTGGTGGTTCCCATCTCCTTCCGGTTTTGGCTCTGTCCTGTCTTTGCTCTGTGACCTTAGGCAAATAACTGGTCCTGGTTGAATCTTAGTTCCTTCAACAGTCTCAGGCAATTATTGGCCTGGATGATTTCCTACTTGAAAATTCTTCTCTAGTCTTGAACCTCCCATTTTTTCTGGTTCTGCATCCCTATCAGGGAGTTCTTCCCACTTCCTTCATCACATGTTCTCTACTTCTTCCCCTTCCTTCTTGCAGAGGTGAACCTGGCAGCTGCGGTGATAGCAGTGGTGGGCCTGGCAGTCATGGCCCTGGGGTGCCTCTGCATCATCATGGTGCTCAGCAAAGGCGCAGAGTTTCTGCTCCGAGTTGGGGCTGTCTGCTTTGGCCTCTCAGGTGAGGGTTGAGATCCTGGAGATTGAGGAAATTGCATGCAGGGAGGTGGGAATCTCCAGGCACTGTTGCATGCTGGGCAGTATGGTCTCCAAGAACTCTTGCATGCTGGCAAGTTGGGTATCCAAGTACTGTTGCATGCTGGGATGAGGGACCTCCAACTGCAGTTGCTTAATGGAAGATTGGGTCTCCAAGCACTGTTGCATTCTGGGAGGTTAAGACATCTCCAAGCACTGTTGCATGCTGGGAGGTGGAGATGGCCCCAAACACTGTTGCTTGCTGTGGGTCACAAGGGCTATAGTAGGCTCAAATATGAGAGCTTTAAGCTCTGTTGTTAGCTGGGAATTGGAAGGTCTCCAAACTCTCTTTTAGATTTGGACCTAAGGTGTGTAAGGACTGTTGCATTCTTGGAGTTGAGGGTCCAAACACAGTGCTACATCTTGTGGTATACAGTTCCCATTGGGTCCGATGTTTTCTAATGTGGATAGAAAGGTTATTAATTATGTAAGCAGTTGTTTGTTATGGCTGCCATAACAAAGCACCACAGACTGGGCGATGTAAACAACAGAGATGTATTTTTGCACAATCTTGGAGGCTGAAAGTCCAAGTTCAAGGTGTCAGTAGGGCTGATTCCTCCTGAGGCCTCTCTCCTTGGCTTATAGATGGTCCTTTTCTCCATGTCCTCACATGGTCGTCCCTCTGTGTGTGTCTGTGTCCTAATCTCTCCTCATATGGGCAGCAGCCATATTGGGTCAGAGCCCACCTTAATGGCTTCATTTTAATTCATTTCTTTGAAGACCCCATCTCCAAATACAACCACATTCCAAGGCACTGGACCCCAACACATGAACTTTGGGGAGGATGCAAGTCAGCCCACAACAATACATCTACCTAATTATTGTCCTGTCCTTCTGGGATGAAGCCCCAGGAAGACAAGGCCTTTGTGTGTGTGTGTGTGTGTGTGTGTGTGTGTGTGTGTGTGTGTGTGCGCACGGGCAGTGTGTGTGTATATATATTTCATATATATATATAAGTAGTGTATATATTTTATAATGAGAGCTCAGTTAAGATCTGTTAAATGGCCCTGGCTGGGTGGCTCAGTTGGTTAGAGCATCAACCTGATACACCAATGTTACAGGTTCAATCCCTGTCAGGGCACACACAAAAATCAACCAACGGGTACATAAATAAGTGGAACAAAATAAAATGCAAAGAGCCTTGGCTAGTGTGGTTCAGTGGTTGAGTGCTGGCCTGCAAATCAAAGGGTCACCAGTTCAATTCCCAGTCAGGGCATATGTTTCAGTTGTGGGCCAGGTCCCCAGTAGGGGGTGCATGAGAGGCAACCACACATTGATGTTTTTCTCCCTCTCTTTCTCTCTCCCTTTCCCTCTGTGTAAAAGTAAATAAATAAAATTGTTTTTAAAAATTAAAAAAAAGAGAGAAAAGGAAGATCTGGTAAGAGGATACACGAACTAACAAGATAGTGAAGGAGACTGGACAGTGTCTCCTCCTTATCCAGCTGTTTTTCCCATATTCAGTGTCCTAATGCTGATCTGCATTGGACCATGAAAGGCTGGAGAGAGGCATTGAATCCACAGTACACAGACTCCAGGCTACATTCTCCTGGCCCCTGATTAAAAACCATGAGGGAATCGGTGGGCAAAGAGGAAGGAGGGTCAGGACCTGAGGTTGGGGCCAGCCTCCAGCATCTGAGAGGGGAGGCAGCCAAGATCCATGACCATGGATGACCATCAGATGGTCCTGTGTGGTCTGACTCCTGCCCAACCTCTGCACTTCCATTGCCCACCACTTTACTCCTCCCCATTGCCAACATTCCTCTCCCTCAAACACACTGCACTTCATCCCACCACGGGCCTTCTCACCAGTCACTCCTTCTGCTCAGGAATAGCCGTTGCTTAATTTTGTGCATGGCTGGCTTCTTTTTATTCTCTGTTTTGGTTCTCAGCTGAAATGGCTTTTCCTGGTAATACTATTTAAAGTCCTGGCTCCACCCCTGGACACCGCTCCCCTTCCCATCACCCTGTTTTTATCTCCTTCTGCCCTGTCTCATTCTCTGAAATTATCTCGTCTTCTCATGTGTTTACTTTGGAGGTTGCAACCTGGCAGCCAGCAGGCCAGCGATGGACCTTAATGGGCATTGCTCGTTGAGCAGTGTGTAAAGATTTCTTGGAGCCAGCGTTGAGAGTTTGGGTGAATTCCCATGAAAGTCGTAATCGTTTAGAAATTTTAGCTCTCCTCGAAAAATCAGAAGGTCTGGCAGATAAAGTCGACGTTTCTGAAGGGCTGCAGTTGGCGGAAGCTGAGTTTCAGCCCTCTGTACCTATTCCCATCATACCTGCCTGCTTCTTTCTTGACACTTAAAATGTATATGTTGCCTTGGCTGGTGTAGCTCAGTGGATTGAGTGCGGGCCTGCGAACCAAACAACTGTGGTTCGATTCCCAGTCAGGACACATGCCTGGGTTGCAGGCCAGTTCCCAGCAGGGGAGGCACAAGAGGCAGCCATACATTGATATTTCTCTCCCTCTCTCCTTTCCTTCCCCTCTAAAGATAAATAAATAAAATCTTTTAAAAAACACTATTTGAAAAAAATGTGTATGTTATGTATACACTTTTTGTATATTCTCCTTTCTCATTGTCTCTGGCAGGCATTGTTTACCTCCTGTCTCCTCCAAGTAGAATAAAAGCTCCATGAAGTCAGGGTCTTTGTCTTGTTCCTTATTTTTTTTCCCCATTACAACTTGATTGCCTTTCTTTTTAAACTTAAAAAAAATTATTGATTTTAGAGAAAGAGAGGAAGGGAGAGAAAGAGAGAGACATCAGTTTGTTGTTCTGCTTATTTCTGTATTCAGTGGTTGTTTCTTGTATGTGCCCTGGCTGGGGATCGAACCCACAACCTTGGTATATCAGGGTGATGCTCTAACCAACTGAGCTTCTTGGCCAGGACCTTGACTGCCTCTTTTTTTTGTTTGTTTTGTGATCCACCATCACTATTTTTTCAGCTTTACTAGCATGTGATTGACAAGTAAAAATTGTGTATATGTAAGGTATGCAATATGGCATTTTTTAAGAAGATTTTATTTATTTATCTTTAGAGGGGAAGGGAAGGAGAGAGGGAGAGAAATATCAATGTATCGTTGCCTCTCATGCGTCCCCTGCTGGGAACTGGCCTGCAACCCAGGTGTGTGCCCTGACTGGGAATCAAACCACAGTTGTTTGGTTTGCAGGCCTGCACTCAATCCACTGAGCTACACCAGCTGGGGCTATAATGTGACATTTTGATATACATATATACATCACAAAATGAGCACCATAATCAAGCTAGTGAAGACATCCATTACCTCACATGGTTACCTTATTATTATTTTTTTTAGTATGGTGAGGGCATTAAGACCTATATATTTTCTTAGCAAATTGAAATAGACAACACAGTATCATTGTCTATAATCCCCACGATGTACCTTAAATCTCCAGCACTTACTCACCCTGTATAACTGAAACACTGACTATTTTAACCAATGTTCCGTATTTCCTCCACCCTCAGCCCCTGGCAATGATCATTTGACTCTGCATTTCTTCAAGTTGACTATTTTAGATTCCATGATCCCTTTACAAAAGTCTTGATGGAGTCTGAATTTGACTTTTGTGATTCTGGATTCCTGGGCTTGCTCTTTCTTTCTTTCTTTCTTTCTTTCTTTCTTTCTTTCTTTCTTTCTTTCTTTCTTTCTTTCTTTCTTTCTTTCTTTCTTTCTTTCTTTCCTTCCTTCCTTCCTTCCTTCCTTCCTTCCTTCCTTCCTTCTTTCTTTCTTTCTTTTGCAGCAAAATATACATAACATAACATTTACCATTTGCGCCATTTCTAAGTGTCCAGTTCTGTGTCATTACTTACGTCCACACTATTGTGCGGTCATCACCACCATCCATCTCCGGAACCTTTTAATCTTCCCCCGCTGAAACTCGGTCCCCATTACACATCTACTCCCACTCCCCTCTCCCAGTCCTGGCACCCACCACTCTACTTTCTGTCTCTAACAGTTATTGTTTCTTCTTTCTCTCCAGCTTCCGAAATTGCATCTGCTCTGTAATAGGTGTTTAGGAAGTGATAGGTGTTGACTGAATGAAGGAGTGAATGAATGAATGAATGAGAGGGTGCTTGGGAGTCCCCCAGCTTTCTTGTTCGAGAAGCATATGGTGGGGGGCATTGGAAGAGATACTGAGACCCAAGCGGGGGGTCCCCCAGAACCAGAGCACCATGTCTCTCCTCTCCCCCCACAGGTCTGCTGCTCCTGGTCAGCCTGGAGGTGTTCCGGCATTCCGTGCGAGCCCTTCTGCAGAGTGTCAGCCCAGAACCTCCCCCAGCTCCGGCCCTGGCCTATGAGTACTCCTGGTCTCTGGGCTGTGGAGTGGGGGCCAGCCTCGTCCTGCTGCTGGGGGGCCTCTGCTTTCTCCTGCTCACCCTGCCCCCCTGGCCCTGGGGCTCCTTCTGTCCCAAGCAGGGGCACAGGGCCACCTAGGGCCATCCTTGAGCTTTCTCTAAGCTCCTTCTAAAACCCTTTTTTTTTTTAAACCCTTGTCCCGTCAAAATCTTTTGCCCCATGTCTTGGAGAAACTGTCTTCCTTGGGCTGGGGCCCAAATTGTTTGCACAGACCCGAATTGTTTGGGCATCTCTCATACCCTCATCTTTTCCCTCTGTAAATATGTTTTCCTCAGTGGCTGAATTTGGGTCGCTTAGGGGTGGGGTGGGGAGAGGCATTTTGCAAACGAGGGTCCCCAGGGAAGGTTGTTGGGGACCTGATGGGGTAGCTAGAGATGGGGGGATGAAGTCAGGGGGTGTTGGGAGGGAATTAGACCTATTCCTTTTTCAGACTGCGGGAGAGCCTTCTTCTGTCTAATTTGAAATGTGTAGAAATAGGGGAGGTGGGGGTGAGGGGGAGACTGTCTGGGTCTGACCACAGTGAGGTCTGATTTGGGAATTAAAGATTTGGAAATTTAACAGCTTTGCTTTGGAGTCCCTTTGTAATGTGGTTGTGTGTTCTTGGGTAGAGAAAAGTTACCCCTTTGTTCCCCAGAATCACTGGCCCCTAAGCCATATGTCAATGAACCCATAGAGAGTGATGGGAATCCTAAACTCTAGAACACACACATGTTGTTGTGGGTTGAATGAGTCCTTTCCAAAAGTACCATATTTTGCCATGTATAATGCACACCCATGTTTTTTTGGTCCAAACTTTCAGGGAAAAGAAATCTTTCACTTTAATTTTTTATTTCGATTTTTTTTATTTGTTTATACTTAGAAACAAAACTGATGGTCGTATTTCAGGGTATTATTTTGCAGACGGATATCCTCATTGCTTTTTAGAGTTCCACTTTTAATGTAGAAGCATAAATAAAAGAATTAAAACATTTATATAGGTACAGAATTAGTACTACCCACATAAAACACGCATCCTTATTTTCTCTCAAAAATTTGGGGGAACTACTGCACATTATATATGGCAAAATATGGTGTATGTTGGGGTCCTTGCCCGCTGGACCTCAGAATGGGACCTTCTTTGGGGATGCAGGTCTTTACTGAGGCAATCAAACTAAAATAAGGTCATGTGGGTGGGCCCTGACCTAGCATGACTGGTGTCCTTACAAGAAAATGAGATGAGGACACAGACATGCACAGAGTGCAGATGAGGTGAAGAGACACAGGCGTCTGTGGCCTCAGGAGAAAGCAACCCCGCGACACTCTGATCTGGAACTTCAGCCTCCAGAACTGAGAGACGATCCATTTCCGTTGTTTAAGTCACCCAGCTTGGCATAATTTCGTTACGGCCGCCAGAGCAGGCTGATACAGATTTTAGTAGCTGGAAACCGGGCGCAGCTGCAACAAGCACCTGAGAATGTGGATGCAGCTTTGGGACTGGGGAGCAGGTGGGGGCTGGAGGGGTTTTGAGGCACATGATAGAAGAAAAGCCCACGTTGCCTTGAGACTGTTGGTTGGAAAGGTGAACATGAAAGTCGGGGGAGGGCTCAGAAAGAAGCACAGAGAGCCGTAGAAAGCATCTGTCATCCTAGAGAACACACTGACCTTTGTGAATGGAATGTCGTAGAAGCAGGAGTGACAAAGGCACTAGCCGTCAGATGTTCCAGTTCCTCTAGGCCAAAGGGTCAGCCTCCTCCCTCCCTCCCTCACGAAGACCAACACACGATCTCAGCTCAGAAGTCACAGCTTGGATTCTTCCACCAGACAGGGGTTGCTGAAGATGATCTCTTAGCTTTAAAGGCCAAAGTCTCTTAAACATTGAAGAGTATTTATTTATCTATTTATTTAATTAATTTTATTTTTAAAAAGATTTTATTTCTTTATCTTTAGAGGGGAAGGGAAGGGAAGAGGGAGAGAAATATCAATGTATGGTTGCCTCTCATACATCCTCTGCTGGGAATTGGCTTGCAACCCAGGCATGTGCCCTGACTGGGAATCAAACCGTGAAGCTCTGCTTCACAGGCCCATGCTCAATCCACTGAGCTACACCAGCTAGGGCTGAAAAGTATTTAAAATATGGACTCTGTGTTGGCTTATGAGTGCAAATGTATTCACATTCTGAGTTTGATTCTCTTAAGTTTTTCTATAATTATAAAGTATAATTATATAGGATATTATTTAGAATATGTATTATATTATTATACTGCTGTTATACATAGTATATAATTGTTATATTCAACCCATTCTAATATGACTATTATGAATATTATGATATATTAATATATTCTCTCAAATATTTCTATATTTAATTATAAATATAATTATATTATATAATTATATGCAGTTTTAACATATTATAATAATCTTTATCTAAGATATTCTGTTAGTATCTTATCATATTATGTAAATGTTATTTGTAATATTGCGTATATATAAAGTCATGTTTATGCAATAGAACATCATATTATATAAATGTTATATTTATAATGCAACACATGTAACAACATTTCTGTATTATAATATATTCTAACATATTATATAAATATAACATATCGCATAGCTATCACATATCATATTACACAGCTATCATCACAGATTATATTACGTAGATATTATCACATTTATAATTATACACTGTCCCAGGGTTGAAGCTGCTTCCTCCGCAGGAAATGCTGTCGTCCAGGAAACGCGGGAGCAGCCTGTTTTTGACTTGGCGCGACTGTGCCTGTCTCATTCAGCGCCGCACTCTCCTTCCTCATCGCTTCTGCGCTGAGCTCAGCATCGTGCTGGGGATCCCGCAGGGAGAGAGCTACTCCCGTGGTTCACCTCCCTGATCTCGCAGAGGCCGCATGGGGCAGGGGTTGAGGTGTGGGCTGTGAACGCCCCTGTCTGTTCCCAAGCCTGGCTCTGCCTTTCCCACTTGAGCAACTTGCTCGCCCTCTCTGCCTCCCTTTCTTTCTGCCTTAACCTCCTGGAGTCCCCCTGAGAAGCACGCGCCCTAATCGTCCTCCCAAAGCTGCAGAAGATTCTCAGGCCATAGCGCCATCACTCTGGCTGTGAGTATTTACCGAGTGGCACTCTGGGCTCAGCATACAGTAGAGAGTCAAAAGGGACCCCCGATGAGCTGACGGCCTGGTGCTGGAAACATAGTAATCACACAATCACACTAATGAATGTGTAATTATAAACTGAGATAAGTACTAGGATCAGGGATCATCAACAATTTTTTTCTATTTAATTTTGTGCCCAGCCAGCTCTGGGAAACCCCCCAAAATGTTTGCTGCGGGGGAGGGACCACTGTTCATGGGGAAGTGGCCCTAGGTCCAGTGGGGTCTTCATTTTACACTGTCTTCCCTACCCAGGGCCTTCCTGGACTCAGGAGTGGGAGAAGGGAATAGCGGCCCTTCGAATACATCGTATTATGGGATAATTTACTAAAGCATTTAACTTGCAACTCTTCGCCTTATTTTTTTTGCTGTAGTAAAGCAAAACAAAAACTTCTTTTTAAAATAATTTGTAAAAATGATTCCTTATAGTTGACATTTAATATTAGTAATATTAGTTCAGGTGTACGACACAGCGGTCAGACAATTATATACTTTACGAAGCGATCACCCCAATAATTCTAGTCCCCACTTGGCACTATCGATAGTTATTACAATACTACTGACTGTATTCCCTGAGCTGTATGTTACATCCCTGGGGACTATTTTGTAGCTGCCAAATTGTACTAAAATAGAAGCTTCTTGAAATCTACCACCCTCCTGGCCTTTTCAACTGTGTGGGACATAGTTGCAAACTTGCAGAGAAGTTGCAAGAATTAAAACAGTGCCCTGAAGACTCACATACTCTTTCTTCCCTCGGACTCACCAACATAGGGGTGCGGTGAGGTTGACGGTGTCTAACTTCAAGCTTTAAGAGTGGGGAAGCCTCACATGGGCAATTCAGTATTTAATATGGGCTGAGGTGCAGGGCCCAGAGAACCAGGGGCTCATATTTGAAAGGTCTCAAGGGATCAGATTTTGGCGAACAGCCCTGAAGACATTTAGGAACTGCCGAGAAGAGGGACAGGGAAGAGGATGAATGAATCCGGTGTCTTACATCCGTTCAACGAGCGCCACCTGGAGGGCGCAGGCGAAGTCTGCAGAGAGAAGCTGGAGCTGGCCCCGCGGAGGCCCCAAGATTGACGCAGTTAGTCTTCGTGGGTCGGTGACCCGGTGGAGGAGACGCATTTACGGGCGAGGAGAACTAATTGCAGGTGAGAAGACTGCAGCCTTGAGTGGGGTGGGGGGAGGAAGCGCAGAAGCTCCAGATGGGGAGATAAAGAAAAACCTGGGCAAGCCCATTGCAGCCAAAAGCAGTTCAATTTCTGAACTGGTGCTATTTTTTTTTCCTTGTCATGTGACTACAGAAAAAAACCACACAGTGACTGTAAGTCATTATACCTAAAATGACTGTAAGCTCCTAGGACTTGCCTTAGGTGTCTCCTGAGGACGCAGGTAAAGAGTGAAGCAGGAAAAGGTGGGTATGATGGGGGTGGGAAGGGGGAAGGAAAACGTTTGTTCTCTGAATCACTCTGAAGATCATAGCTACATCTTTACAATGAATGCACTTGCAACTAGGCTGACCAGCTCATTCCGATTTGCCCGGAACATGCTCAGTTTTAGCCTGTGAGTTACCATGTCCTGGGAATCCTCCAGTCCTTTGGAAAACTGGGATGATTAGTCACAAAACTGATACCGCTCACGAAAACCCTATGAGCTTTCTGTCTGTGGTGAGAATGTGGACTTCCGGAGATGTCCACAAATCTCCCCAAGTTCACAGTACCCAAAACTTGCACCGAATACTGTGTAAACACTGAGGACTCTCCTCTTGTCATGGTTTCTGGCCTCTTCTCAGCAATGTCCCACGTGGTGAGAAAACAAACCGGGTCTCCACTTGCTACTGTATCCGTGACTTCAGAAAATAAACGGTCAGGAATCGCCTTATTAAAACGAAAGACTTGTGCCCTGGCTGGGTGGCTCAGTTGGTTGGACTGTCATTTTATACGTCTAAGGTTGCAGGTTTGATTCCCAGTCTGGTTTCCTCCTGGGCTGGGGCACACGTGGGATGCAACCGATCAATGTTTCCCTCTCTCCTCCTCCACCTCCTTTCCTCTCTCTCGGATTCAGTGGGCATGTCCTTGAGCGAGGATTAAAAAAATAATAATAAAGACTTACTATCCTAATTTAGGGAAGGTAAATTCTAGAATGGATGTCCGTACGTGATTTCTTTTAGAGTCATCCATTTTTGCTCTCAAATATTTGTCAAGATGGTTTGTTCAAAACAAAGTCTCT